GGGGGAGTTTGTTAGGTTTGTTATTGGGAAGTGAACAGACGTCTCCCGAAATCAGGTTCCCAACACGCCTGCGGCCTGGCCACTGAGGTTGGCGATGACCCCACGAACATAGGGGTTGTCAAGGTGGATAACAAAGTCGACGAAGTCGACACCTCAGGCAGTGAAGAGACAGACGCACACAGGTTGATCCGCATTGAGTCACACACCCGACCAGCACGCTGCAGCTAAGAGACTACGCGCCTTGGAGACGTTCCACTTCGTTTCCACGGCGTGAAGGCCTTGAAAGGCCTCCGTCTTTATGGCCTCCATCATCAGACGCTGACTCCACTCACCAAGAACTTTTAACTCACACTCAGACAGCCTAACAGCCCTGCTTGAAACCCCGACCTTGAAGTCACGCTTGTCCACGAAACTCTGCGTTTTCTCCACGAAGTCGACAAGACCTTCCAGTAAGCCTTAGCAGCCATCGCTGGACCATCATCGCTTGCACCAACAGCGCAGAACAGCGTAGAAGGCAGAACGTTGTAAGCCACAGACACCAAGAGTCCTCGTCGCCGTCCAAATCACCTCGCACGAAAAACATAGCCCACAACCTGGCACGCCTCTTTGACACACAGGCAACGCTGATGCACACCAAGCAGCTGCCGGCCATGCGGGTATTCATCACCCCATCGCGGCTGAACATTATAACGTTGAGAGGCAGAGGACCTGCTGGCAATGTTTCTTGTTCACAGCACATCACACGTGTCTTGAACATCATGGAACATGAGAGGAAACTTCGCGGAGCCTGTGCAGCTGCCCAGTGGCTCTACCGCCTCCAGGACGCAGATGTCCTCCGGGCTGTGGCTCGGATATTGCCACACCTGGTTCGCAGCTGTCTAGGCGCGCGCCCCACGCAGCGCGTGACAAAAGCGCACAGCCAAGAACACACACAAAATGTGCTACAGTTCCTCCCTGCAAGTTTTCCCTGCTCTGAGACATTCGACAAACTACAACGCCAGTCAAAAGCCAAACTCCAATCAAACAACAAGCAAGTCGGCAAACACACGAAAACGAACCAAGACTGACAAACCAAGACCAATAAATCAACGAGAACGAAAAATCTAACAAAACAAATGAAAAAGCACTTGTCTGCGGACGCAAGCACCAAATCAGGAGACAGCGATCATTATTCAGAATCAAATGAACACTTAGACGGACAAGAAAACAACAGACAACATAACAGAGCAGCCAGCAGCCAACACACACAATCAAACGACGAACGCAGTGAATTAGCAACATCGAAGCCGACACTTAACTGGCGAACTCCACTCAATAAGTCTAGCGTGACGCCAAGACACAGCCCCTGAAGGAACCATCGCCCCGGATGATCACGCACTTGTTGGAACTGTCGGGTCCCAGGTCCAGGTCTTCTGCGCAAAGCGCGAAGGAAGTTCCCGACAAGTCGCCCCTGCTGGCAAAAGCAACAAGACCGCTCACGGCCCATGGTTATACACACGCAGACATCTACGATTCCAAGCGCTAAGATCGTGGCCACTTCAGCTTGGGCTTGTAATGCCAGGCGCTCTGCGTGAAGATCAACTTCTTCACGCAGGCCTCCACCGCCGCCCGCGTGCCATTGAGAAGGCTGTGCGGCACGGCGTCTGTGCCTCAAGTTTCATGCACAGCTGGTCCATTTCTTAATAAGAAATACCACAGCTGCTCCGTTTTTTAATCGAAATTGACAATTTACAAAAACGGCCGAATTAAGAAATTGAGCCCTCAATTTCTTAAATCTCAGAAATTGAGCCCCTCAATTTCTTAATTCAAGGTTTTTTGTAATCTGGTCCCTCTGAGAAGCCCATTGGCCCTATTGAGGAGGCAGTTGTGCTGAGTGCGCAATCTCTCCATGGCTCAGATGCTGCAGGTGCCGGTTTCAATTCCTGCGCCTATCATTTTCTCCGCGGCCTTCCCAAAACCTCCCAGAAACGCCCAGCGCCTCACCAGGTCTATTCAATTCTAATCCAATTAAGAGAATTCAAAAAACGGCCAAATTAAGAAATTGAGCCCCTCAATTTCTTAAATCTAAGAAAATGAGCCCCTCAATTTCTCAATCTGTTTTTTGTTTGAAATGCGTGATGTTTATCACATTTTCCCGAATTAAGAAATGTATATTGAGAAATCGAGGGTACCCTCAAAGTGAACTAGAATATTTTTAATAAAAAAAATACCGTAAGCCTCACAATTAAGAAATCGAGGGTACCCTCATCTGAGAGTAGCTATTTCTTAACTTAAGCAGCGCTGTCACTGTACTCCCCTATATAAGCCCCTTTGAGGAGTTTAGACTTTTGCTCGTATGATTGAAAGGGTTGCTGGCCGTGGAAAGCGGCCTATGCAGCGAAATGGAAAATCTAGGCATGCATCACTCCCCTCACGCATCACATAGATATTGCTAGGAAGACCACTCACCCTGGCCAAACCCCGCTTCCCAAACCCTTCAGACCCTAAACCCTAAACCCGAGGCCTATATTATGTGTATGTATATATATATATGTATTTATATATACATATATAGTTATTTACTTATTTATGTATATCTATCCGTTTATGTTTATCGCAGCAAATCGCAGCACCATAGGCCTCGAGCAGAGCTCCCGGAGCTGGGGTGGCTACAGCAGCGGCCAACGCAGTTGCTTCCTGGCACGCCATACGTTGGGGTTGTAG